CAAGTATGTTCGGCAGAATTGAAGAAAAGAAACAGTAAAGCATTCAAAAATAAAGCAACTGAAGAAAAGAGCATCAGATTAATATTTCATGCTCAAAAATTGAGCTACAAGTTCAATTAATTCAGTATCGGCAGCCGCCCACAAGCGGAAAATAACAGCTGCCGAAATACGTACATAAGCAAAAAAAATAAAACTGTTGTACGACAAGGCAAGCTGAAGCCAAAAAAACAAGGCAAAAAAACTCAGAAAGCGGCAAGTCTAAAGTTAAGCACATGATGAACCGCAAGATTCTGAAGACGACTGCCCGAGTTCCTATGCTTCAGCCTGAGGATCAGACTTATCAGCGTTGAGCCCCATGGTGGCCTCAGCCCCAGCAGCAGAAGAAGCGGGCTTTGCACTCTGCCGAGCCTCCCTTTCCCTCTGTCAGCTTCCAACTCCAGTCTCTCAGCTTCCTCTTCGGCTTCCTCAGCCTTAAGAATTTCAGCTTCGGCTGGAGTTGCATACTTCATATGAGGGTCTTCGGGATTCTGGACCCACTCAGCACATTTAGACCAGTCCAGCTTCGGCTCAGCATGAAGGCAGACTCTTCGGCATACTCGGAATCCGTTTCTGAAACCCATCTCATATTCCTCTTGGGTATAGACACGGACTTTGAGTAAAGCCTCAGCATCAGCCAGCTTCTTCTGGGTCTCCTCCAAGTCTTCCTTGGATTTCTTAAGCTCATCAGCGCTTGGAGGAGGAACCTTTCAGCTCATTCAGCTCTTGCTGAATTTGGAAAGCCTTTGTCTGAGCTTGGGCCACTTCAACTTTCTGGATCATCAGTTGATCCTCAGCCTCTTGGAATTTGCTCTTTGGGCTTCAGCAGCAACAGCAGCCTCTGAGAGTTGGACATCTTTGGCCAGGAGCAGCTCTTCAGCAGCCATTCGGCTGGCTTCAAGAGCCTCTAGACGTTGCTGCACTTCAGCTTGTGCAGCAGTTCCTTCCTGAATTCGGTCGGCTCTCAACAGCAGCCTTGAATTTGGAGACGTCCACTCCCATATGCTCCTGGAGGAATTTTTCCCCTTCCATCAGTGGGGGAAAAACTTCCTTCTCCATAGCATCGCAGAAGGTTTTGAGGGCTTCAGCAGCTCTTTTCTCATACTCCTCAACCTCCTGCTGCTTCTCTTCAGCTGCTGCTTGCTTCATCTTAGCAAGCTTTACTTCCTCTTCAGCCACCTTCTTGTCGTGCACAGCAGCGTCTACCCTATCTTGTAGGGTATCTATCAGCTCTACAGTGTGAGTCTGATTGTGCACGAACTGAAAACAGGAAGACAAAAATAAATAAATAAAAAAAATATATATATAAAGAGTTGAATTTCAGAGGAAATGAAGACAAGGAAAATTACCTGCATCATCAGCAGTTGGTTAGACCTGGCTGGGTCAGGAACTGATCTGCTGGATTCGCCCATCCCAGCAGTGGCCTTCAGCGACCAGATCCTTGCCCTGTCTACTTCGGACATGCCAGCAAAATTGCCGAAGTAGGCTGCAGCTCCTTCTCGGTTCTGACCCCATATGAGATCCCAGATGTGGTCTGGGATTGGAATTCGGGGGGCCGAGAAACCCATTTCTCCAGAATGCAGAGTCTGGAAAGAAGGGAAGGATGACGATGGAGCTTGATTAGCTTTGGTTGTCTCAGCATCATCCTTCTCAGAGGAGTCAATTACTATGACCTCCTCTTCTTCAGGGGTGAGGACGAAAGCCTCAACCTCTCTTGCGATGTCTGCCGTGAAGCCCTCAGCACTGGACATCACGGCATCCTTATTTTCGTGCTCAGCAGCACTCTTCTTGATTTCTTCTTGGACCCCTCCCTTAGGTTCGGGAGTTCTCTGATCCACCTCCATCTCAGGAGGTGGCGGAGGGGTCTTTTGAGGTGATTGGGGTGGTGGCTGGGGAACCCTCGGCGATCCGTTGCCTTCCTCGGGTTCCCTTATTGCGACGCCGATGGACATCGGCCTCCGCTGAAAGTCATGAGGGCCGATGATGGCCATCCTTCGGCGCCTTTTCAGAAGGGGCTGCTCGTCCATATCTGAGTCTGAAGACTCTTGTATTTGGTCTTCGGGACGAACAGGAGCTTTGCCTTCTCTGTGTCTGTTACTCTCTTCAGACTGTAACAGACAGGGGGGAAGAAGAATGTGAGTAAAAAAAAAAAAGAAAAAAAAAAGAGAAAAGAAAAAAGAAAAAGTTGTCTGAAAGCTCACCGAGGTCTTCAGCAAAGCCTCGTCTTCTTCAGCTGCTCTAGCTGCAGCTTCGGCTTCAGCAGCTCTGGAGGACCCTTCTCCTCCTTCGCAAGCTTCGAGTACCCGTGCAACCTCTTCGGCTGTGCGGGCAGCTTCAGCTTCTTCGTCCAGCAGCTGAAACCAAGGGTCTCTCTTCTTCCACCAAGGCTTCTGCCTCTGATACAGAGCAACAACCTCAATTTGGAAGTGGGAAGAGTCTAGATGAACTTCCCTATGCCTCGGCTCAGTGATAGACGGGGCCCGTTCAGTTACAACTCGTTCTCGGTTGACACCAAGACGAGCGTAGTTAATGCCAACGTTGGTCTCGTCCCGCTCTGAAAAAAGGAAAGGGGAAAGGTTAGCTCAGATAGATCGGCACAGCATAAAAAAGCAAAGCGAGAGAAGAAAAAGAGGTAGTTAAAAAGCCTCGGCCCCAGCCGAAGAAGCTTACCATCCTTAAACTTTCGGCTGAGGCCAACAGCTGCTAGCATGTTCTCTTGGAAAACGTAATGCGTATCGGGGAGCCAAGTCTCCGGGATATGCTGCATTCGGCCACTGCCCCCCCGGTTCGGCAGCTTGCCGAAGATATGTTGCTGATCCAGGTTCGGATCCGCCCCGTTATCTGCGGGGGGACCTAGACTTCCCATTTCGGGATCAGGCTCAGCGAGGTACCGGGGAGCGCTGAAGACGCAAGGGTGGCCCGGATCTGTGGGTGCCCTAACCCAAATCCATTGACCTCTCCAGTCCTTGTCTGAAGAGTCATTTGGCCACATGGTCAGGTATTGGGGCCGGGACTCAATCCGGTACCACCCAGAACCATGGCTTCCGTGCCCACTTTGAATATTTGGCACTAGCCGATGGAGCTTTTTGAAGCAGTGCAGGTTCGGCACGTACTTGAAGAACTTGCAGACCCATAAGTATGTCATCACCCTTCGGATGCTGGTGGGGGTTAGCTGACATAGAGAGATGTTGTAATGGATCAGCAAGTCTCGGACGAATACGTCCAAAGGGAACCTCAGCCCGTACTGAAGCTGTCTCGTGTACACCCCCACATACCCCGGGGGTGGACGATGGATTCTATCGGATGCCGAGGGCATTCGGCACCAATACCCATCAGCTTCAAAAATGCCGTAGTGCAACTCAATTTGCTCGGCAAATCGATATTGATCGGCATTCTCCACCCACCATGAGTAGGGGCGGTTCTTTATCATGGCCGAAGCAACTTCGGCATTCTCCCATTCTGAAAACCCAGGGAGGATATCCCAAAGGACAGCGGGAACTTCATCATCCCGTCCAGAAGCGCTCGGCTCTTCCGCTCTCTGAGGAGGAGCCGAGGAAAGGGGAGTCGCCCTAATCCCTTCAGCAGGGTCAGACTCCGGCCTTTGACCATTCCAGGTCCCAATCCTGTTCTTAGGATCGGGAATCAGCCTTGCTCTTCTTGGAGCACGGGCTCTACCTCTAACTCCTCTTGCCATTGATTATTTTGAAGAGAAAAGTCGAAAGAAAAGGGGAAGGAGTTCGAATTCGAAGAAAAATAAACTGAAATCAAAGGAATTTACCTTAATCTGAAGCGAAAGTTGCCGATTTACGAGTTCGTAGTGGCAAGTCTCAGTTTCTAAGCTTAGTGCTCGGGGAATTTGCGAAGTTTTGATGCGGGTTCTTGGTTTTTCTCTCAAGAATTCTGGGTTTGTGTTGGTGAATAAGTGAGGAGAAATGACGCGCCTTTGTTTATATCTCCAGGTACGGGATACGAGGAGTCTGCGTTTTAATTTCTCTTAAGTACTCCACTAAGTAACCGTTAAACACATGATCTTGTGATTAAACTGCCCATTATCCGTCCAACTTCCACAATCATTAACCGTTGTTATCTCATTAATTACGGTTTAAATTCAAATTTTTGGATTAATTAAATCATTTACTTCCCTCCTTTTCTGAATTAAATCAAACCCGACCCGTCATCCTTCCAAATCGGGTCTGGGGGGCAAGTTGTTTGGGTCCAATTTAGTCCAAATTGGGCCTAAGCACTAAATGATCCAATTAAAAGCCCAAGGTCAAGGTTCAACTCTCCAATTGTGCTAAAGTCAAAGGTCAGCCCACAAAGCAAGCCAATTGGGCTAAGGCCCAACCTCTCCATATATGATGAGGTATAAAAGCCATCATATATACATATTCATATGCTGATTGATATATTCAGGGAGATATTCTGATATATTCCATAAAAAGCCTCAAGCTACAAACTCTCTTGCATAGTGTCTTCTTCTCACACATTGTACTGACTTTAGCATCGGAGGGGCCTTCCTCGGCAACACCCCCGAGGCTAGTTTACGTGTGTTTACTGTGCAGGAAACCTTCGGCCCAACATAACTTGGACCGAATCCAGTCTTCTCCATTTCAGCGGACCTTCGGCAAGGTCCCATTGTTTTCACCCGAAACAGAAAGTATTGACTGATTATATATACGTATGTATTTCATATGATGTATAAATATTTAAAGAGTGTGTAGAAGCACGCAAGGAAGCTATCTACAATAATGAAATTTATACTCTTTAATTAAGATTCTCTTGTAGATTAATTAAATTAAAATTGCATTTGGAATTTACCTAAAGATGCCAATATTTTTTAAAAACAATAAACCTTCAATACTAAGGGCTAAGGCCGTGTTCCCTTCACATTGAAAAAATAATAATTTCAATTTAATAAAAATATTTAAAATCGGTAAAAGTAATAATTTAAAGTTCAACAAATATAATTTTAATTTTACGTGTATTCTTTTTTAATTTTAAATCATTGTTTGACTATGTAATACTTAGATAAGATGTCTCGGAACTTGTATATATGGAAAATTCTAAAATTCTATTCAAATGTTACTCAAAAAAAAAAAAAAAAGTCATCTCTTAAAAATAGTTTCAAACCTAAAATAAGTAAGCAAAATTTATTAACAAAAAATATAAACATAAATATAAACCGGGATGGGAATTCGGGAATCAAAGAATCTAAATAACATAAAATGTTGGAATTAAAGTTCTTGTTTCCCGAAAGATGTTGGAATTAGTCAATAAGAGATGAATCAATGTGATTAGTCTCTTCAATTCGTCTGCTAATATTATTCAGTTCACATTTGTGTTAGGTTAAGGTTTCCAAGGTTTGTACGTACCACTATAAATAAGTTGTTTCATTTATCATTCTTACTCTATCTATTTATAGCTTGTGATATTGTGCAAATTAGTGATCATATTATCGATTAGAGTTTGGCGGAGGACGTGGAGGTTAGTTTTTTTTTTTTTTCAATCATCATTCACTATCATATTGTATTAATGTTCTTGAAATTTGTAAATTGATACGTTGTACTTTAATATATACTATGAATCGGTAGATATCATCTCATTTTCCTTAATAAAATTCACGTAATAAATAAAAATCTAGGTGTTAATATAATTTGTTCATTTTAAAATTCAAATTAAGTAGTGAAAGAATTAACAAAAATGACAGTTTCTTATGCATGGTCTTAATCTTAAACATGTTTCAGATATGACAACGCTTGTAAAATTGGGTCCAGCCGGAAAATCATCGTCTAATTCTTGTACAGCTTGGGATGAAACAAGGAAGATCACTCACATTTTGATTTCATATGAAACTGCTGGTAGTTCCTCTACTCGGAATATTGGCTGTATAAGGTCGTTGCAATTTCATTATCAAGCTGGTGGAGTCCGTGGAAATTCTCCTGTTTATGGCAAACATGATTCAGATTCAAAATGCTTTACTATGGTTTATTCCTACTTTCAACTCTTTTTACTCGTAAAATGCAACTCCATAATGTTATTATTTAATTAACCAATAATTGATTTAAAACGGGATCTAATATTGTTTGTAGTCAGTCAAAAGCTTTGGCGCTTCTTTTTTTTAAAAAAAAAAAAATGGAAAAAGCATTGGCACCGGTAGGGGCCTAGCCCCTCGTGTGCACCCAAGGAGAGAGAAAAGAAAAATAAATAAATAAATAAACCTTTGATGCCAGTGGTACACATAGCCTGAAATTAAATTAAATTTAATTCTTCCAATGGACTTGACTTTTAAGGTCATTTTTTTGACGAGAAGAACATCTTCAATATATGATACAAGAGTAGGAAAATAGTACACATTATTGATATAAGATTGCATTACTTGTAGTATAAATTTTAATAATAAAACATTAATAAGATTAATGTTGCAGATTAAACTTGATGGTGCAAGCGAGTATATCACCGGGCTTAATGGACGTATTTGGTGTGAAGAGTACCCAGATGAGAAGTGGATCTCGTTGTTGACAATTGAAACTAACAAAAGAAAATATGGACCTTTTGGAAATTCACCACGTCTCTTAAATAGAGATCCTGAATTTAACTTTCAGTTCGGACCAAGCAATCAATTTGGTGGATTTCATAGCACTTTTGGTAATCCTGGTTCTAGATTTACTAGACTCACGTCCATTGGAGTGTATGTCAAGCCTTAATGACCGAATTCGATGTTGATCTGTTTGATCAGATAAATTGAAGATTTCATCTAATAATTACGACTTCTGTTGGTGTTATGTATTTTCATTAGCGAATTATGTACTATATATGATATATCCCTGAAAATTCTATAGTAGGTATTCTAAATGACTTTCGCAGCACAAATTACATAACCTTGAACTAATAGAATATGTTTGGGTCCAATTTAGTCAAAATTGGGCCTAAGCACTAAATGATCCAATTAAAAGCCCAAGGTCAAGGTTCAACTCTCCAATTGCACAAAAGTCAAAGGTCAGCCCACAAAGTAAGCCAATTGGGCTAAAGCCCAACCTCTCCATGTATGATGAGGTATAAAAGCCATCATATTGACATATTCACGTTCATATTCATATTCCAATTGATATGCTCATTCGGGCATTCAGAAATATTCCACAAAAGCCCCAAGCTACAAACTCTCTTGCATAGTGTCTTCCTTTTACACATTGTACTGACTTTAGCATCGGAGGGGCCTCCCTCGGAAACACCCCCGAGGCTAGTTTACGTGTGTTTACTGTGCAGGAAACCTTCGGCCCAACACAACTTGGACCGAATCCAGTCTTCTCCATTTCAGCGGACCTTCGGCAAGGTCCCATTGTTTTCACCCGAAACAATTTGGCGCCGTCTGTGGGGATGACTTTCAAAAATCTTTAAGCCAAATTCCTAACCAAGATCATCTTGCAATTATCTTAGCAGCCATGGCTAAGAACCGCAAGAGCAAAAGCCTCCGTCAAGGAGCGGGCGAAAAGCCTAAAACCCCTACACCATCGCCCTCGCCGGACCGGAACTCTCCCAAGGGTGCCGGCTCGGGGGGAGGATCATACAAGGAGGACTCCCTATCTCCTGTAATGCATGACTCTCAATATAGGCCGGACCACTCTCGGTCTAGCAGGGGTCAGTCTGATCATAGGACATATTCAGTGTCCCAAAGCCAACCATCGGCTGCACGGCCTCATTCCCACACTCGGCCGAGGACCCCTTTGACGGGGCCCAGTTCGGAAGAGGTGGCAAGAGCGCTGGCAGTACTCATGGAGGCAATGAGGGCACAGAATATGCCACCGCCTCGTGATCGAACTCCTCCGCATACCCGGCATCAGCGGAGGAAGTTAGACCATGACGGTGGGAAGCTTCCTTCCTTCCGGGAACTGGAAGAGTGGGAGGAGGATTCTTGGAAAAATGAAAAACAGAGGAAAAAGAACCCTCAAGTATTTAAAGGATCCTCATCCTCAAGACCAGAAGCGCACAAGAGCAGCAGCTCAGCTTCTCGGCCAGAATCTACTCGCCGAGAACCTGAGACTGTTCGCAGAAGCGTCCTTGACCGACTCGGCGGCCAGGAACCGAGCGTGCGTAGTCGCCTCTCGTTCCCTGCAGCCGAGGCCCAGACTTCCCAGCCAGGGACGAAAACCACTCCTACCTCTCTAAGAGGGCGGAGCGCGGTCCCTTCGGCCAGGAACAAGGGCAAGGCCGTTATGCTACCCGCTAGTTCACCATTCGAGCAATGGATACTGGAAGAGCGCGTACCCACGGTTAAAATACCGTCGCATATCACATATGACGGGACCACGGATCCGAAGGACCACGTGGCCTCGTATGAGACTCATATGCATCTTTGCCCCAGATCCGAGGCGACTTGGTGCAAATATTTCCCAACCACTCTCAAGGGGGTCGCGCAAGCGTGGATCTCCAAGGGAGTAAGGCAAGGCTCCATAACAGGTTGGGATGATCTGTCCTCCAAGTTCAGGAGCAAGTTTTCAACGGCAAACCGCCGAGAGAAGACTACTGCAGAGCTCATGAGTCTGCAACAGGGGGAAACCGAAAGCCTCCGAGACTACCTGACCCGTTTCAGTAACGAGTCATCAAGCGTCTCCCAGCTGGACCAGGGGTTAGCTGTTTTTGCAATGCAGAATGGCCTTCAGCCAGGAAAGTTCCTAGACTTCATGGTCATGCATACCCCGCAGACCTTGGAGGAAGCTCTTAGTGCTTCGGATAAGTTCATCCGAGCCGAAGAATGGAATAAAGCAAAAACCCAACCTCAATCCGGGGGAGGGAAACAGAGGCAAATACCCTTGTCTGAAGGCCAAGGCCATAAGGCAAAAGGAAAATCAAAGGCTCCGGAGCCATCTTTGGCCAACGACCTAAAGAAGGACAGATTTGCCTCATACACAGGCAGATACGAGTCCTACACTCCGCTCTCTCTTCCACGCGCCAAAATTTACAGTGTGACGAAGGAGGAGCAGAGTTACCGAAAGCCGAGACCACTCCCAGAGTGGTATCAGCGAAAAAATAAAAATCAGTGGTGTGAGTTCCACGAGTCTTCGGGCCACAACACTGAGGAGTGTATCCAACTGAAGGACCAGATAGAGGACATGGTCCGGAAGGGATACTTGAAAAAATACATCGCGGATCACCGCGAGAAAAAAGAATCCGAGAGGTCAGCAAAGGACCCTCGGCAGGACCTTGATTTCCCCCGGAAAAACAGTAAAAAACCGGAGGGGAAATTCCCTCCGATCAATGTTATCTCGGGAGGAATATACTCTCGGAGGGAGCACAAGCGTCACCTTAGAGCTTTGACTCACCAGGTGAACAACGCTGACATTCAATCTCCCCAGTCGCCGGTGCCGAACATGACGTTCACAGCCGCCGACTGCCGGGGGATTACGTTCCCTCACGAGGATCCGTTGGTGATCATCGCCACGGTGGCCAACCACGACGTCAGTAAGGTCCTTGTTGACGGTGGCAGCGGAGCAAACATTCTGTTCCGAAAGGCCTACAATCAAATTAAGCTGAAGCCCAAGCACCTTACGCCGGTACCCTATCCGGTATCCGGGTTCAATGGGGCTTCAACTTATCCAGATGGGAAGGTGACACTTCCTGTCACCATCGGTTGCGATGAGGCAGCCCGGAACGTCATGATTGAGTTTTTGGTCATCGACGCTCCTTCAGTGTACAACGTGATTTTGGGGAGACCCATAATTCACGAGATCCAAGGGGTCGTCTCAACTTATCATCAGCTGATGATTTACGTCTCAGACGCCGGCTTCCCCGAAAGGATACAGGGCAACCAAAAGGACGCCCGAAGGTGCAACTACCTCAAGCCATCCAGTAGTCGCCCAGATGACGACAAGGATGAGGAGGAGAAAGAAAAAGAAAGAGAGCCAAGCACAAAAAAGCCGAAAGGCCTAAGTGCTTCGGCCCAAGGATCCGTGCCCAGAGAAAAAGGTCCCGAAAGGGAAAAGGTTGACTCTTCAGCTGAGCCGCAAGACTCAGAGAGCCAGCCGAAGAACACAAAGACTGGGACACCTGCTGACATTGGCAGCAGACCAGATTCTGAAGAGTCCAGTCCATCGGCAATGGACATGGACCAACAGACTGAAACAGTTGAGTTGGCCGAAGGAGATGCTGAGAAATGTGTAACAATCGGGATGGACCTTGATCCTAACACCCGTTGTGAACTTATTCAGCTCCTTCGGGATAACAGAGATGTGTTTGCTTTCTCGGCAGCTGATATGCCCGGGATAAGTTCAGACCTCATCTCCCATAAGCTTAATGTTGACCCAACGTGTCGACCAGTTAAGCAAAAGAAGCGGAATTACTCCGCCAATAAGAACCGAGACATCGCAGCCGAAGTCAAGAAATTATTGGAGGCAGGGTTCATTGAACCTTGCCAATATCCGGAATGGCTGGCAAATGTGGTGATGGTTCAGAAGCCCAATGGTACCTGGAGGATGTGCGTTGACTTCACGGACCTAAATAAGGCTTGTCCAAAGGATTTCTATCCCTTGCCGAGAATCGATCAGCTAGTCGATTCGACAAGTGGCCATGCCTTGCTTAGTTTCATGGACGCATTCTCGGGGTATCATCAGATCTTTATGCACCCCGACGATCGAGCCAAGACAGCATTCGTCACGAACGCTGGGGTGTATAATTACAAAATGATGCCCTTCGGATTGAAAAATGCGGGGGCAACCTATCAAAGGCTGGTGGATCAAGTTTTCGCCGATCAAAAGGGCCGAAACATGGAAGTCTATGTTGACGATTCAATCGTCAAAAGCAAAAAACTAGAGGACCATGTAAAGGACCTGGCTGAAACTTTTGCCACCTTGAGAAAGCATCAAATGAAGCTGAATCCGAAGAAGTGTGTCTTCGGCGTGAAGTCAGGGAAATTCCTGGGGTTCATGGTCAGCAAAAGGGGGATTGATGCCAATCCCTCTAAAGTCAAAGCGGCGCTCGACCTTCCTGAGCCGAAAACGAAGCGGGATGTTCAGCGGCTCACCGGAAGAATGGCAGCCCTCTCGAGGTTCATTTCCAGAGCTTCGGATAAGGGGTTACCCTTCTTCAAAGCCCTGAAACTCCCGAAAAACAAAAGAGCTTGTTTGGGAGGAAGAGCAAAAAGACGCCTTTCAACAGCTTCGGGAGCATCTGGCTCAACTCCCAACGCTGGCTAGCCCAGCTGAAGGAGAAACTCTATACCTATATGTGGCCGTTAGCCCGGCCACCATCAGCGCAGTATTGCTAAGGGAAGAGAGTAAGAGTCAACAACCGATCTATTTCGTCAGTCATACACTGACGGATGCTGAGACCCGCTATCCTCTACTCGAGAAAGTTGCTTTCGCGGTGGTAGTAGCTGCTCGGAAGCTGAGGCCCTATTTTGATTGCCATCAGATAGTGGTCTTAACTGATCAGCCGTTGGAAAAAGTTCTCGGCAAGGTTGAAAAATCCGGTAGGCTAGCCAAGTGGGCTTTTGAGCTCACCGAATTCAGCATCAGCTACCGTCCGAGGGCTGCCATTAAGGCTCAAGCCCTAGCGGATTTTTTGGCCGAATGCTCATACCAAGAAGCGCTGGACAGTGAAAAGAAAGTCTGGACCGTGTTTACGGATGGGTCATCCACCGAAAACGGTTCGGGGGCAGGAGTAGTGATAACTTCTCCCGAAGGCAAATCCTTTGAGTATGCACTAAAATTTTCTTTTAAGGCCTCGAACAATGAAGCCGAATATGAGGCAGCAATCGCCGGCCTACAATTATGCATCTCCTTGGAAGCCGATCATGTCTGCTTAAAAACAGACTCTCAGCTAGTTGCATATCAGATCAGTAG